AATGCCTATTGTGGTTTTGTTTTTGTTTTTTTATTTCTTCCAATGACACAGATTTCACCTCATCCCAGTCTGCCTATCCTGTGCAACTCTCATCCTTGTCCTCCCACACAGAGTACATCAGACATTCCGGCAACTTTTCCCTTGACATTGTAGGGATAGCTATGTCTGTGATTTTGATCAACAGTCTACATAAATAGTTCCCACCTCTCTAAAGAAAGAAAGGAGGGTGGCTTTTTTTTCAACTTCTCTGGGGCCAAGTTTGGTTATTGCAATTACACAGCATTAGGTTTCATTCCTTCCCTCTCCCACTCCCTCACCTCCACCAACATGAATTAGCTATCTAGTATTAGGGTGGCAGCTAGGTGGCAAACCTAGCTAAGTCATTCATAGTTGATCACTGTATCACTGTATTAAGGATTTGGGTTAAAAAACAAATTGCTCAAAATAATGTTACCTTATTCTAGATGTGTATCAAAGAGTCATAAGAAGACACTTGGATGAGGCCAATTTTGTGATCGTTTTTGTCTGTCATCATCCTTTTTGACACTCTTCCTGGTTATTCTCTCTTCCTTTTGTTTCCACAACCTCCTGGTTCTCCTACCTAATTGTCTAACTATCCTCCTTTCCTTTGGGGGTATCATCATCCATATTGTGAGCATTAAATATGGGTATATATTAAGCTTCTCTCCAGATCCTTCTCCTATTTTCTCTCTGTGTTGTTTCTCAACGATCTTATCAGTTTCCGTGGGTTCATTTCTCATCTCTCTGCAGATAATTCCTGAATCTCCATTTCGTATAGAATCCTCATGTCTCTTTTGGGCTCAAATTTCCCTTTACCAACCACCTCTGGATGTCCTATGTGTATCTCAAATGAAACATGATGTTCATGTTTAAACAAGACATAAGTTCAAATCGGAACTCATCTTTGTCCCCAAGACTATTCCCTCTTCCTAATATAGGTTATCCATCAGTATATCAATCCACTCTCCCAATGGGTGACATGACCAGTCCATTTTTGGGTGGAGGCAGGCATTTCTCTGATGATATCTTTTACATAGATTCCTCTGCATAATTCCTTGTTTGTGATGTGCTGAAACCTGCTCATGCCCATGATATGTTACAGCCTGCTGACGCCCACCATACGCCTCTCCATTGCCTTTGGGGAGATCCTTCCAAGCTTTAGTATTCCATGACTTTAATCCAATATTGTGCCTTCTCTACTAAGCATGTTGCCAGGGGAAAGGCAGAAATGACTTGAGTTAGTGAATGATTTTTGAATGACAAAGGGGGAAGGGGTCATCAAGAAGTAACTTTAATTTCCTAGCTTATCTGGATTACAAATGGTGTTGACATCTGTAACCACATGCAAAATGATGGAATAAAATGTTGACAAACATATTTGATGTTTGATGGTAGTTGTGATGTTAAAATTGCATTGGTTGTGATGATAAAATAATTACAAACCAATCAGAAATGAACCTCATTTGATGGATAAAAACTTTTCCAGGATTCAATTTAATTCCATTCAGCAATCATTTATTAAGTACCTACTATTTTATTTTTAAAAAATAAATTTATTATTTGTTTGTTTTTAACATTCTTTTCTTTTTAAATTTTGAGTCTCAATTTCTTCCCTCTCACCCCGCCCCCCCATCCCTGAGAAGGCAAACAAATTATATCAATTATACATGTGAAATCATGCCAAACATATTTCCATATTAACCACAGCAAAGAAAAAAATCATACTTCAATTTGTACTCAGAGTTCATCAATTCTCTCTCTAGAGGTGGATAGCATTTTTTTTTCATCATGACTTCTTTGGAATTATCTTGGATCATTACATGGATGAGAAGGCAGGTCTTTCACAGCTGATCATCCTTACAACATTGCTGTTACTGGCACCTACTAGGGACAAAAAGGACAGAACCAAAATTGTCTCTATCCTCAAAGAGTTACATTCTACCGGGATGACAGAACATGGATCCAATAGGTAAATCCAAAGCGTAGGGAGAAGCATCACAAGATGGGGTAGGGGGGAGGATCTGGTGGCACCTGAGCTAAGCTTCATAGTAAGCTAAATATCCCTAAATGTGAAGGTGAGAAGGAAGGCTAGCTAAGGTGTGGGACAGTCTGCACAAAGGAAAAGAAGTGATAGATGGATCGTCGTGCATGGAAAACAGCAGAGGCCAATCTGACTGTGTTTAAGAGCACATGACATGAAGTAAGTCTGGAAAAGGAACCAGGAACAATGCTGGTAAGGGCTTTAAATGCCAAACGAGAAATCTGTATTTTATTCTAGAGGCAGCAGGAAGTCACTGTTGCTTTTTGATCATCAGAATAACATGGTTAATCTGTGCTTTAGAAGGAAGATTCCCATAACTTTGTGGAGTATGGGTTGGAGAGAGAAGACATTGGAAACAGGAGACCAATTAGGAGGCCACTGTAATAGTCCACATGAGAGGTGATGAGGGCCTTACAGGGTGGCAATCGTAGGAGTGGAGAGCAGGAGATAGAAAGGATGGTGGTGTTAGAGATGATCCATGTAATAGACACAGAAAAACCAACTGTTTGAATATGGAGGCATGAGTTGTGGAGAAGAGTGAAGAGTCAAGAATGACTCCAAAGTTGTAAACTAGAGTGACTGGAAGAATGGTTGTACCATCAACAGATATAGAAATATTAGGAAGAGGGAATAAATAGTCTTGGGGACAAAGATGAGTTCCGATTTGAACTTATGTCTTGTTTAAACATGAACATCATGTTTCATTTGAGATACACATAGGACATCCAGAGGTGGTTGGTAAAGGGAAATTTGAGCCCAAAAGAGACATGAGGATTCTATACAAAGTGGAGATTCAGGAATTATCTGCAGAGAGATGAGAAATGAACCCACGGAAACTGATAAGATCGTTGAGAAACAACACAGAGAGAAAATAGGAGAAGGATCTGGAGAGAAGCTTAATATATACCCATATTTAATGCTCACAATATGGATGATGATACCCCCAAAGGAAAGGAGGATAGTTAGACAATTAGGTAGGAGAACCAGGAGGTTGTGGAAACAAAAGGAAGAGAGAATAACCAGGAAGAGTGTCAAAAAGGATGATGACAGACAAAAACAATCACAAAATTGGCCTCATCCAAGTGTCTTCTTATGACTCTTTGATACACATCTAGAAAAAGGTAACATTATATTGAGCAATTTGTTTTTTAACCCAAATCCTTAATCTAACATCTCTTGCTTTTGGCTTCAAGGGAACATTTTGTTTTTGTATTGATAGATCCCAGAGTCAGGAAAACTTTTGTCTCTGCTGTAGCTGTGACCATAGACAGGTCATTTAACTGGTCAATGCCCCCAGGAGTCTCTTAAAGACTATTAGCTATAGAAGGGTGGTTGATGCATCATCAGTGGAGGGATTGCCTACATTAATAAAATCACAATTTCCCTCCCCCCCAAAATCCTTGATAATTATGTTCATACTTGGAAATTGAGGGGATGTCTGAACAAGTTGTGGTATATGAATGTAATGGAATACTATTGTTCCATAAGAAATGATGAGCAGACAGATTTCAGAAAAATCTGGAAAGACTTATATGAACTGATACAAAGTGAAATGAGCAGAACCAGGAGAATATTGTTCCCAGTTAACAGCAACATTATACAGTGATCAACTATGAATGACTTAGCTCTTCTCAGCAATACAATGATCCAACACAATTCCAAAGAACTCGTGAAAAATGCTATCTGTCTCTAGAGAAAGAACTGATGGAGTCTGAATGCAGATCGAAGCATACTATTTTCACTTTTTTTTTTCATTCGGTCTATTTCTTCTTTCACAACATGACTAATATGGAAAAATGTTTTACATGATTGCGCATATATAAACTACATCAAATTGCTTACAGTCTTAGGGGTGGGGAGGTAAGGGAGAGAGAGAAAATTTGGAACTCAAAATTTTAAGAAATGAATATTAAAAGTTGTCTTTACATGTAATTGAAAAAATAGTATTTACAAAAAAAAATTATGTTCATAGATTTGGAGCTAGAAGGACCTTCAAGATTATCTAGTCCAACTGAACATTTGACAGATGAGGAAACTGAGGTCCACAGAGGCTAAGAGATAAAGGCAAGTCCTTGGATTCCAGAGCCAACAGTCTTTCCACTGTATCCTGCTAATGGTCTTGAGACTATTTGCCTAACTTTAGGTATAAAAGATGTCAGAAATTTCATTTTTTTTTCTTCTAGAGGGAAATAAAGGGGAGTGAGGAGGATAAACAGTAGCCACTCTCTATACGTGACATTAACTGCATTGCTGTTGTGTTTGTCCTTCATTTCCCAAGAGGATCATGACATGAGGGAGATGATGACATGACTTACAGTTGACTTTGATTTGAGTGAGGGAGGCCTGTGCAAGGTCACCAGCCTCACTTTCTCCTCCAGAGCCATCTGGGTCCAGTGGCCAGATACTCATCAGGATGACTAGGGATGGCCCAGGGTGCAATGGAAGACCCTGACCCTTTTAAGCTAAGGTAACTGCATGGCTTACAACAGAAGCCAGGAGAGCCATTCCTGAGAAATGTTGCTTACACTGATAGCAACTCCCGGGTCCAGATCTGGAAGTAACTTGCCCAAACCCTAGATACAGTTTGAAAATTGCACCCCTTGTGGCTCACTGTGAAATGTGCAGCTTGACTCATCCCAAAACAAACAACCAGATGGCTTTGGAAAGCAGAATGTTCTATGTTTATAAAGAGAAATATTAAAAAACAAAAACAAAAACAACCCCACCTCCAAAAAAAAAACCTGCTCTTTATTAAACTCCCTCCTCCCTCCTTGCCCTCCATGCACTTAGGCATATACCTACCTGACCCACTGTTCCTCATGGCTGGTTAGAATCTGAGGCCAGAAGGATGGGGTGTTAAGAACACTGGCTATGGGGTCAAAGGACCTGAATTCAAATTCCGGTTCTCCTACTTACCATCTATGAGACCTTGGTCAAATCACCTCTCTTCTCTGGCTTCAGTTTCTTTCTCTGTAAAATGAGAGAATTGATTGTCTAATGGCTAGAACTTCAAGATTTACAAGGCAGTTTACAAATATTATTATAGTTGATCCTCACAAAAATCCTGGAAGGTAGGGGCTTTTATCATCCCCATTTTACCATTAAGGAAATCAAGGCAAATAGGTTAAGCAACCTGCCCAGGGTCACATAGCCAGTAAGAATCTGAGGCCAGATTTGAACTCGGAATCACATTGTAGACCTTCGAGGTCATCTAATCCAACCCCCTCATCTGACAAAGGAAGTCAATGAAGCTCTCAGGATTAAAGTAATTGGTCTAAGGTCATCCAGAGAAGTGGCTGAGCTGGGATCTGAACTGAAGTCCTGAGACCCAATGCAGTGTAGCATATAGAATGCTGACCCTGGAGTCAGAAAAAACAGGCTCCAAATCATGCTTCAGACATTTACTAATGTATGACCTTGGGCAAGATGGTTTACCTCTCTAGGTCTCAGTTTCCTCATCTATAATATGAGAGAAAGAAAGGAAACAAGTATTTATTTAATGCCTCCTATGTGCCAAGCACTATGCTAAGTGATGGGGATACAGAGAAAGACAAGAAAAAAAACAAACAACCACCAGCCTGGTTGCTGTTCCCAGGTTGCTCACAGTCTAATAGGAGAGACAAATTGCAAACAACCACGTACAAACAAGATGTATAACAGATAATTTGAAGATAATCAGAACGTGGAAGTTAATAACGTTAAGGGGAATTGGAAAAGGATGGCTGTAGAAGGTGGAATTTTAGCTGGAATGTGAAGAAAGCTAGGAGGTGGAGATGAAGAGGGAGAGAAATCCAGGTATGGGGGACAGCCAGGAAAACTACATAGAGTTGGGAGATGGAGTACATGCAAGGAACATTCAGGAGGGCAGTGTTGCTGGATCATAGAGTTTTTGGAAGGGAAGAAGATTGTAGGGCCCCTATGTGGTGCAGTGAATAGAACACCAAGCCTAGAGTCAGGAGGACTCATCTTGAGTTCAAATACGGCCTCAGATACTTACTAGCTGTGTGACCTTGGGCAAGACACTTAACCCCGTTTGCATCGGTTTCCTCATTTGTAAAAAGAAACAGCAAACCACTCCAGTATCTTTGCCAAGAAACCCCCAAATGGGGTCACAGTCAGAAACAATTGAAAAAATGACTGAACAGTAAGACATAAGATTGGAAAGGAAGGAGAAGACCCGATTATGAAGGGTTTTGCTTGACAAACATGGGATTTTTTATTTTAGCCCAGAGGTCTTAGGGACCGACTGAGGAGCTTTTATCAAGGATTCAGATATCTATTCAGAAATGTAAAGTATGGGAAATAAGCAAGATGCACCAGAGATTCTACTGCATGGAGATAAATCTGACCTCATAAGTATCACTGGGACTTTTTAGAATAGAAGCCGTGATTGGAATATGCTTCTGAAAGGATATAGTTTAAAAAGGAACAAAATACAATTCAAAAGAAACAAAAAGAGATGAGTGTGTGGGTATGTGAGGTCAGAGTTTTGAAGAATGAAGTAGCATTGCATATTAAGAAAATACATTCATATGAAGAAACCTAGAAACTAGAGGTGGAAATACGGTGGAGAAGATTAGGTAAAGATCAGTGGAAGAAGAACCAGAAGGAATATGGCCATGTGAGCACACCACAGAAATCTGGACAGAAGCAGGCAACAGATGAGGAGTTTCTGAAACAGATCACAAGTGTGGTACAGAGCCGTGGTGCACCTCAATTACTCGAACATTTGCAAGAGTTTTCTTTGCGGCTCAACTCAGAAGTGATTCTTAGGTGACAGGTCTGAATGACAGGAGGAATAATGACATTAAAAAAAGAAAAGAAAGGAGATGGGGAGAAGGGAAGGTAATGAGTGAAGATTTGGACATGTTAAGTTTGAAGAACCATTTGGACATCCAAGGAGATTTCTCTCTTAAATTCTTTGGGTCTCATTTTTCTCCTCAGCAGAATGAGAAGGCTGGCCTAGAAGACTTCTAAGTTCTTTCTAAATATAAATCTGTGACCCAAAGATTTTCAATGCTTTGGAAATACTAAAGATCATGTTTACACATGTAACTGATGTTTAGGAAAGAAATGGAAAAGTAAGCATTTAATAAAAGCTTACTGATTGATCACTTCCCGGAAAAAACAGAAAAATTTCCCCCAGTACTTTGGATTATATTTTCAGATTTTTCCAGGTGCGAGGCAAACAACTCTAACATTACAAAATTATATATGATTTTTGGAAAACAAACAAACAAGATGCCTAAAGTTAACTAAATGGATAGAAATCCAGGAAGATTTTTTTAAAACCTATCAAAAGGGTTTCAGTTAGGAAAAGAGCAAGAATATCTGACATCAGTCAGCTAGATCGTAATTTGATTTCCTGAAGAGTGGTATTACTTTTCAAAATAATAGCAGGACTTCCCATGAGGCTTTTATAAGATGGTCCATGAACTATTTCTGCTTATACAGCACACACTTACAGAGCTAACCATACTGAATTTTCATTGTTTGCCATAGGTGCAGGTGGTCACACTATAGCTTTGTGCAGATGTTTCCTGATATCAGCAGCCCAGATATCTTTACCAGTTAGCTTTAAAGTGGTAAGAATACTTTTGGGGATGGGGAAAAGGAGGGGACAAACTGTGTAGACAGAAGAGAAAGGCAGTTAGGAAATAGAGAAGGAAACCAGCATGGAGGGTGAAAGCCGAGGAAAAATTGGAAACATGGAGTCCCACGGCTGACTGCCTCTGACAAAAGTCACCTGCCTCCAAAATGTTATTCCTATTCTCCACCTCAGGCCTGGGGTTCTGGCAAGTAGTGGTGGAACACCATGAGGACTCAGTGAGTGTCCAAAAATTCAGCTTACGTGTCGTCTATTCCTTCTGTGCTCTACTCTGGCACCCTCAAAACAGTGTTGAGATTTAGACAAGAGGAAGGCCAAGAATAATACACGGAAGCCTCCGCCTGTCGGTAAATGTTTGTTGATGATGATGACAATGATGAAATTGAAAAGGATAGGAGGTAAATGGGAAGGGCAGTAAAGAAGTGAAAACGAAGTCAAGAAGAGGTTGGACTGGAAATATTGGTTTGAGGTAGGTCTTGTGCTATTAAGGCGAAGAGAAGTGTGCATGTGTGTGTGTGTGTGTGTGTGTGTGTGTGTATGTAATACAAGAGAAGAGAATGTCCTACACATAGACAACAGGGATGGTAACAGCCAATCCCCTTCCCCACCATGTCAAGCTTGGGTAAGAAAGCATTGTTTATTTCAATGGTTTCTGTCTCATGCTGAGACTATTTTAGGAATCAGAGTTGGAGAAGGTCACCAAAAGATCAATGGTGACAGTCTTAACTGTTACTTACTGCAACGTTGTGGCTATTGGTGGCTTCTCAATAATTTTTAGTAAGTACCTACTGTGCACTAAGTGGGAAATACAAATGTACCCAAGATACAGTCTCTACCATCAAGGAGTTTACAGGCTAGTAGAGGATATGGATTTATACGTTATTAATTATTTATATGTTATTAATTTTGCCAACATATACCGAGTGCCTACTGTGTACAGCACTATCTGAGGAATAAAAATAAAAATAAAAATAAAAAGAGAGACAAATATAGCACCTATAGGCTTTGGGCTCTCCCTCCTAAACCCAATTTGCTTTGGCAGGTCTATTACCCAGAAGTCAACTACTGCTCCAGCTCCCCGAGGAATTCTGTTGTTGTTGTTCAGTCTTGTCAGACTCTGCATGACCCCATTTGGGGTTTTCTAGACAAACATACCAGAGTGGTTTGCCATTTCCTTCTCCAGCTCATTTTACAGATAAGGAAACTGAGGCAAACAGGGTGAAGTGACTTGCCCAAGGTCACACAGCTAGAAAGCGTCTGAGGCTGGATCTGAACTCAGGTCTTCCTATGGACTTCGGGCCCACTGCTTTATCCACTGCACTACCTACCTAACTCTAAATTTTAGGGGTACCCTTAAAGGGCTTTGGGGTTCTTCTAATGCTACCACTCTCAAGTCCCCCATATCAATCACTAGTGATCAGTGTCCCAATTTTATTTTGACCATTTGCTTTCTCTTTAATATCAATTAACCAATTACCATCTATTAGCCTTTACGAAGGACTCTTTGCCATGAAGGTATAACTAGAACAGGAGTAGGGCCCACTTTCCCCTCTACATACCACTAGCTGCCTGAAGAGAGAGAGATCAAACTCAAGGTGGTGGTTACAAAACATCCCCCCACCTCAACTAGGAGTAGGGTACTTCTTGGTCGTGGGAGTCCTTTCCTCAATTTGAAGAGTCTCCACCAAGTTTACCTCTGGGATGTGACCGCTACCTTATTTTAGGACATGATGTCTTGGCTAACAGGTCAATCTACCACTAGGCAGCATCCAACGGGTCCAACGGGTCACTCCTCAGAGCTGGCTCTCCAAACGTTCACCCACTTCTGCCACAGGTAGACTCCACAATCCATTCTGACCATAAACTTCTGGTGTTTACTCAGACCTTTCAAAGCTCACAGGGTTGTGCCCAGCATTATTCCATCTCTAACACTCATCCACCTAGAACTGGAGACACCTAGGTGGCACAGTGGCTGAAGCACTATACCTGGAATCAGGAGGACCTGAGTCCAAATGTGGCCTCACACACTCACTAACTGTGTGACTCTGGGACAAGCCACTTAATCTCTGCCTTCCTCAGTTTTCTTAACTGAAGATGAGGAAAGCTCCTACCTCCTAGGATTCAGGTGAGGATAAAATGAAATCATATTTATAAAGCACTTTGTAAACTTTAAAGTACTATAAATGCTAACTACTTACCTAAGATTGGGAAAGTAGAAACACAACAGGTGCAGAAGAAACAGCTGGACCATGCATTCACAGCTACATGGCAACCCAAATGGGAGAGTAGGCAGTGCATGCTTCCTCTTCCTTTAGTCTTATAGACGTTCTAACCTGTCACCGGGGAAGAGAGAGAGAGACTTTGTCTATATGTGCCCTTTTAAAAACACATTCAGTTCCAGCTGAAGGAAGGCAGAGGAAGAGGAAGACAGTTTTTTTTTGCCATTTTTTAAAATTTTAATTTATGGAATAAAACAAGCATCCCCATAACATAGTATAATAAAAAAAGAGATGATGGTACATAAACTGCAGATCTACTATATGTACAACTAGCTATTACTTTCAAATATACAACAAAATTATCATGCAATTCAAAAAATTTTTTTTTCTTCCCTCCCTTACCCCACCCCCCTCATCCTAGAGATAGCTGCCATTGGACCCACATATTTTTTAGCAAAACTGGAAAGGTGAGATAGCACCTGAATGTGGAAGGTCTTTAGTGTTAGGCTAAGAAATGTGAACTTTGCAAGGTATCTTGAAATTTGGGGGCTAGACTTGTTTCTTCCCTATTTATTTATTCTATCATTTTTTTTTAAACTGGGACAACTAACTCTTCTGTCTCATGTAGTTTTTATTTATGATTTCTTGAAATATAGCTCTAAAAAAACCAGGCTTTGATAAAGCCCATTGGGACTCAAATGGAGCTACTTGACTATACCTTTAAACCCAAATCACTCTGGCCCTCACTGACTGGCCAATAATAGATCCCTCACTTGTTCCTTGCTTGGGGTTTAATGACTCAGAGTGAGTGTAAATAGCAATTGTTTCTATTCTGGCCGGAAACTCTGAGGGTCTTCCCAAGACCTCCTGGATAGATTCTTTTGTGAAGCCAAACTAACCCATCTTTTGCATCAGTTCTTACCTAGCCTTTACTGAATGGGTGTTGCCTCAGGCAAATTGAGACCTGGGAAAGACCCCCACCTTAAACAGGTCAAGGTCTCCCCCTGCATCTAGGGCCATTGACACTCACGTCTTGCCACTGGACTCAGATGACTTTGGAGGAGAAAGTGGGGCTAATGACTTTGCACAGCCCTGCCTCACTTAAATCCAATTCACTCCTGATGTAATTGGTCCTTTTCCAGAAGGAAGGATGAACAACAAGGAATATGAACTTTACTGGGTCGGCAATAAGGAGTCTGGGAAGGGCTTTGAGCAGAGGATTGATAACAACAGATCGTTGTTAAAAAGGAAATGTGTGGCACTGACCCCACTGGCTCCTGCCCCACTACCTCTCAACATGGTTAGGTCTCCTCTATTCTCAAAAAAGAAGACCTTCACTTGATCCAGCCAGCTTCTCAAGTTATTATCTTTTATTTCTTATTGCTAGGAGGAGCCAAACCTCCTAGAAAGGGTCACCTAAATTCCTTGTCTCAACTTTTTCATCTCCTACTCACTTCTCACCTCCAAGTAACCTGACTTCTGATTATCAACGATCTCTTAACTGCTAAATCCATTGGCCATTTCTCAGTCTGCCTTCACTTGACCTCCCTATAGTTTTCAACAATTAAACGCTCCCTTCTCCCGAAGACTTTCTCCTCCCTTGACTTTTTAAAAAACAAATGTTATTGATATTTTTGTTTTTACATTGTTAAATAACCCTTGTGTTCCTTCTCCTCCTCCCTCCCAGAAAGCCATCTCAGAGAGCAAAGTTTTTTTCAAAGATTTTTTTTTTTTTAAGAAAAAGAGGAAGAAGGGAAAAACCCAAGAGAACCAACCAATACATTTTTAAAATCTCACAATATACGCCCAATGAGTCTCACACTTACGGACTCCTCACATATACAAAGGTGAATGTAGTAGTATTGTTATTTGTTCCTTGTTTTCAAAGAGGACCAATGATACCAGGTGGTGATGTCTTGACTCAAACGTAAATTAGATTTAAGTGAGGCAGAGTTGCACAGAGTCATCAAAATCCAGTGGCAAGACAAAAGTCAACACAACTGGCAATGGTCCGGGATACAGTGGATGGCCTTGGCATCTTTGATGTCTGACCAGGCTCTAAGTGCTCCACAGAGCCTGCTTTAGCCACCTTCAATGTTCTCATCGGCCCATTTCACTGGGAGAACACCTCACATGATTGGAGTAGGTATCTCCCCAACTTACCGAAGGGTTTGAAGCCTGAACCTGGTTGTATGGAGTATTCAGGGAAGACTAGCACCTCTGGTGTGAGGGCTTGCTGAGCTCTTTTCAGGACTGTTCATCTACCTGTGGTGTCTACCTTTCACTCAACTCTCACCTGTGGCTCCATAGCATGCACAGCAGCCACATACCCCAGTATCTTCTCCTGTCTCTTCTTTGGAGTCACTCCCCTGACTTCTATGACACTGCTCTCTCCTGGTTCTCCAACCTGTCTGATCACTTTATCTCAGTTTTCTTCTCTAGATAATAATCCATCTTCCACTCTCTAAGCACGGGTGTCCCCCAAGGCTCTGTCCTGGGCCTTCTCCTCTTCTCTCTTACTGATCTCATCAGCTTCCATGAGTTCTGCTATCATCCCTTTGCACATCTAAGCGAGATCTATGTATTGAGCCCTCTTTTGAAGTCTAGTGCTAGTCACCAATTTCTGCTGGACATCTCCAATAGATGTTCCACTGGTCCCTCCAACCCACCATGTCCCAAATAATATTCATCTTCCCCCATCTAAACCCACACTTCATCCAAATCCTATTAAGGTCTATCATCATCCTTCCAGCGCTCGAAGATGGCGTATCCTTGGTATCATCCTTGACAACCCCTCTTAATTCCAGTGCCTTCCTTCTGTTAATTATTTCCAATTTATCCTGTCTGTAGCTTGTTTGTACTTTTTTTTTTTTTTGGCTTGTTATCTCCCCTATTATACTGTGAACTCCTAAAAGCATGGACTTTCTTTTTGCCTCTTCTTACATCCCCAGAACTTAACACACAGTAGGTGCTTAATAAATGTTTATTGACAGACTCCCTGACCCCCTATATTAAACTGATTGATGAGTCACGTCAGGTCTAGCTGTACAATGCCTCATTTATCTATTCCCTTCTCCACACTCTCAAGGCCAACACCCTAAGAATTCAGGATTTCTTTGCTGCCTGCCTGGACTATTGGAATGGCCTCCAAATTGGTCTTTCTGCTTCAAGTTTCTCCCTTCTCCAATTCATCTGGCTTTCACCCAACTGCCAAATTAATATTCCTAAGACACAGGTCTGATAATGGATATTGCTGTCCTGCTCAAAAAATTTCAGTGGCTCCCTAGTACCTCTAGGATAAAATACTAATTCTTCAGCCCTCTGCTCTGGCTCCATCTATCTTTACAAAAACTCCATTATTCCATCTACTCAATATTCTAGCCAACCTACTAACTACCAACCAAGTTCCCCAAACTTGACTTCCCATTTCCTGTCTCCATGTCTCCCATATCTAGAACATACCTCCTCCCCATCACTGTCTCTTAAAATCCTTCTGTCCTTCAAGGCTCAGGTAGGGTGCCACATCCTCCCACTACCCTTCCTCCTCCACCTCCATCTCCCCACCCACACACAGGATACTTTCTCTTCCCCTCAGATTATCCTTTTTCTGTGTACATAGTGTATCCCCTACTAGAATGTAAACTTTTAGAGAGAAAGGAATCTTTTATTTTGTTCTTTATATCCCCAAGAGCTTAAGCCCCAAGCCCTCTTCTAAGTTCCAAAGTCCTATCTTCAACTGCCCATAGGACATTTCTACTTGTCTGTCCCCAAAGCATATCAAAGTCAACACATCCAAAACTGAGTATATGAGCTTCCCCAGACCTGCTTACCTCATTATAATAGTGACAGTGTTAGTATTTGACCCATGTTGCTGTTGGGCAGCCTTAAGAACTCTGGTGAGAGTCAGAAAGATCCAAGTTCAAGAATTCCTTCTGACATACTGGCCGGGTGAGTCTGGGAAAGTCTCATTTAACCTCTCAGTGCCCCCTGAAAATTCTCTATAAGTTACAGAGGAGCAGTTGACCTCCATCTGTGGAGAATATCTGCATTAGGTACTCACCAAATGGATGAAATCACAGATTTGGACTTCTAACCCCACCTCCAAGAAATTTCTGGATTACAACTTATCTCTAGGATAATACACTTTGACCAGGTAGGATTTATACCAGGAATGCAGGGCTGGTTCAATATTAGGAAAACTATCAGCGTAATTGACCATATCAACAACAAAACTAACAGAAATCATACAATGCGGAAAAAGCATTTGACAAAATACAACACATTCCTATTAAAAACACTAGAGAACATAGGAATAAATGGAGTCTTCCTTAAAATGATAGATAGCATCTATCAAAAACCATCAGCAAGCACTCTATGCATTGGGGATAAGCTAGAAGCATTTCCAATAAGATCAAGGGTGAAACAAGGATGTCCATTATCACCACTATTATTCAATATTGTGCAAGGAATTTCTGGTAAGACTAGTGATAAATACACTTTAGTATATCAAGCTACTTATAATCAGAGCTACTTGGCTAAGATGGAACAAAGTATAATTTGCATTGAGAGCTCCATGACCAGTGGAATGTTACATCTCTGGAAAGATTAACTCACAGTGACCTCACCTTTCTTTTCCTGTACTTCTGTTCTCTTTGCCTATTTTCCTATCTCTACTCTCACTCTTTCCTAATCCCCAGCTTGACGGCGTAATGGATAGAGTATCAGCCTTGCAGTCAGGAGAACGTGGATTCAAGTCCCAGCTTTGACATGACCTGGCTATGTAACCACCTAAACTGTCAGTGCCTCAGGCTAGCTCTGGAAATCAGAGATTGCTGTTCTGTCTCAGTAGAGGAATTTCCACACCCTACAGAAATTTCCACTCCCTACAGAAATGAAGTCACAGATCCAGACCCCCACCTCAAATGTGATGAAGAACCATACTTCCTCAGTCCTTTATATCTCCCCTCTTCCCCCCCCCAAAAAAACCACCCCATTTTACTTGTTAAGGAGGAGAACAGAACACCTGGTGAATGGAGACTTCAGAGAGATGAATTAGTCTCATTTTTCACAAATTAATTATTCTGGGGAAATCAACTAACATCTTTCTTGGTTTT